TCTTCTTTCTTTCTTTCTTTCTTTCTTTCTTTTTCTCTTCAATCTTCGTCTTCTTTCTTTCTTTTTCTCTTCAATCTTCCCCCTCTTTTCTTCCTTTTTTTTCTTCAATCTTCTTTTCTTTCTTTTCTTTTTCTTTTTTTTTTTTTCTTCAATCTTCTTCCTCTTTCTTTCTTTTTCTCTTCAATCTTCCTCCTCTTTCTTTCTTTTTCTCTTCAATCTTCCCTCTTTCTTCCTTTTTCTCTTCAATCTTCTTTTCTTTCTTTCTTTCTTTTTCTTTTTTCTTTTTTCTTTCAATCTTCGTCCTTTCTTTCTTTTTCTCTCTTCAATCTTCTTTCTTTTCTTTCTTTCTTTTTTTTTTTTTCTTTCAATCTTCCCCCTCTTTCTTCCTTTTTTCTCTTCAATCTTCTTTTTCTTTCTTTTTTTCTTTCTTTTTTTTTTTTTCTTTCAATCTTCGTCCTTTCTTTCTTTTTTTTTTTCTCTTCAATCTTCCCCCTCTTTCTTCCTTTTTTTTTTTCAATCTTCTTTTTTCTTTTCTTTTTTTTTTTTTTTTCTTTCAATCTTCGTCCTCTTTCTTTCTTTTTTCTCTTCAATCTTCCTCCTCTCTTTCTTTCTTTTTTTCTCTTCAATCTTCCCCCTCTTTCTTCCTTTTTCTTCAATCTTCTTTTTCTTTTTCTTTCTTTTTTTTTTTTTTTCTTCAATCTTCCCCTCTTCCTTTTTTTTTTCTCTCCTCAATCTTCTTCTTCATTCTTTCTTTCTTTTTCTTTCTTTTCTTTTCTTTTTTTTTTTTTTCTCTTCAATCTTCTTCCTCTTTCTTTCTTTTTTTTTTTCTTCAATCTTCGTCCTCTTTCTTTTCTTTTTTTCTCTTCAATCTTCCTCCTCTTTCTTTTTTTTCTCTTCAATCTTCCCCTTTTCTTCCTTTTTTTCTTCAATCTTCTTTCTTTCTTTCTTTTTCTCTTCAATCTTCTTTCTTTCTTTCTTTCTTTTTTCTTTTTCTCTTCAATCTTCCCCCTCTTTCTTCCTTTTTCTCTTCAATCTTCTTTCTTTCTTTCTTTCTTTCTTTTTTCTTTTTCTCTTCAATCTTCGTCCTCTTTCTTTCTTTTTCTCTTCAATCTTCCCCCTCTTTCTTCCTTTTTCTCTTCAATCTTCTTTCTTTCTTTCTTTCTTTTTTCTTTTTCTCTTCAATCTTCGTCCTCTTTCTTTCTTTTTCTCTTCAATCTTCCTCCTCTTTCTTTCTTTTTCTCTTCAATCTTCCCCCTCTTTCTTCCTTTTTCTCTTCAATCTTCTTTCTTTCTTTCTTTCTTTTTTCTTTTTCTCTTCAATCTTCTTCCTCTTTGTTTCTTTTTCTCTTCAATCTTCCTCCTCTTTCTTTCTTTTTCTCTTCAATCTTCTTTCTTTCTTTCTTTCTTTTTGCTTTTTCTCTTCAAACTTCCCCCTCTTCCTTTTTCTCTCCTCAATCTTCCACTTCATTCTTTCTTTCTTTCTTTCTTTCTTTCTTTCTTTTTCTCTTCAATCTTCTTCCTCTTTCTTACTTTTTCTCTTCAATCTTCGTCCTCTTTCTTTCTTTTTCTCTTCAATCTTCCTCCTCTTTCTTTCTTTTTCTCTTCAATCTTCCCCCTCTTTCTTCCTTTTTCTCTTCAATCTTCTTTCTTTCTTTTCTTTTTTTTTTTTTTTTCTCTTTCAATCTTCGTCCTCTCTTTTCTTTTTTCTTTCAATCTTCTTTCTTTCTTTCTTTCTTTTTTCTTTTTCTCTTCAATCTTCCCCCTCTTTCTTCCTTTTTCTCTTCAATCTTCTTTCTTTCTTTCTTTTTTCTTTTTCTCTTCAATCTTCCCCCTCTTTCTTCCTTTTTCTCTTCAATCTTCTTTCTTTCTTTCTTTCTTTTTTCTTTTTCTCTTCAATCTTCCTCCTGTTTCTTTCTTTTTCTCTTCAATCTTCTTTCTTTATTTCTTTCTTTCTTTTTTCTTTTTCTCTTCAATCTTCCCCCTCTTCCTTTTTCTCTCCTAAATCTTCCTCTTCTTTCTTTCTTTCTTTCTTTCTTTCTTTTTTCTTTTTCTCTTCAATCTTCCTCTTCTTTCTTTCTTTCTTTTTTGCTTTTTCTCTTCAATCTTCCTCTTCTTTCTTTCTTTTTCTCTTCAATCTTCTTTCTTTCTTTCTTTCTTTCTTTCTTTCTTTCTTTCTTTCTTTCTGTCTTCAATCTTCCTCCACTTTCTTTCTTTTTCTCTTCAATCTTCCTCTTCTTTCTTTCTTTTTCTCTTCAATCTTCCCCCTCTTTCTTCCTTTTTCTCTTCAATCTTCCTCTTCTTTCTTTCTTTCTTTTTTCTTTTTCTCTTCAATCTTCCTCCTCTTTCTTTCTTTTTTCTTCAATCTTCTTTCTTTTTTTTTTTTTTTTTCTCTTCAATCTTCGTCCTCTTTTCTTTTTTTTTTTTCTTCAATCTTCCTCCTCTTTCTTTCTTTTTTTTTTCAATCTTCCCCCCTTTTCTTTTTTTTCTTCAATCTTCCTCTTCTTTTTTCTTTTTTTTTTTTTTCTCTTCAATCTTCCCCCTTTTCTTCCTTTTTCTTTCAATCTTCTTTCTTTCTTTCTTTCTTTTTCTCTTCAATCTTCCTCTTCTTTCTTTTTTTCTTTTTTTCGTTTTCTCTTCAATCTTCCTCCTCTTTCTTTCTTTTTCTCTTCAATCTTCCTCTTCTTTCTTTCTTTCTTTCTTTCTTTCTTTCTTTCTTTTTCTCTTCAATCTTCTTACTCTTTCTTTCTTTTTGTCTTTAATCTTCCTCCTCTTTCATTCGTTTCCACTTCAGTTTTCCTCTTTGTTGCTTTTTCTCTTAATCTTCCTCCTTTTTCTTCTCATTTTCTTCCTTGTCATCCTCTTTAATCCTCTTTGTCTTCACTTTCCTACTTCCTTGCCCATGTATTTTCTTTTTATTACACCTGTTTTATCGCACGGTTAATTTGTTTCTATTATTTATATCTGAAAGGGGTCACTCTGGTAATATTTTCGAAACTCACCAAGTGTGGTACATAGTGTAATTCTGTAAGCAATGGTATTAATTGAAATTGGATTATTGCTTTTCTGTGTGAAAAGTTCGAAAGGATTTTAATTGATTTTCCCTGGAACGATATTAGCGCTCGACAAAATAATTTAATTGGTCAAGATCTGTGGGGAGTAGCACAGTCACTTTTACTGCTGATAATGCAAGACTCTCTTCGGGATTGAGTTCTCTGAGTGACTGGTGTGTTTATGGAAAAATAAATATGCAAAGAAATTCGCCTTGACGGACGTCAATGGCCTAGGGGTTAGAGTCTCCGACTGATACCAGATCGCTCGGGTTTTGGTTCCGGGCTGAAGCGATTGGATGTCTACCCACACTTGATGAGCTTTGATACAACGAAATAGCCAGTCTGTGGATGACTATATATATATATATATATATATATATATATATATATATATATATATATATATATATATATTTTAAAGTGTGCTATATTTATGGGGTAAAATTGCTCAATATCAGAGCTAGAGCGTATGTAAATATAAATATAAAAGTGGACATTGAAGTCAACACTCAGGCGACAGGCTGTTTCATGTCCACTGTTATATATATATATATATATATATATATATATATATATATATATATATATATATATATAAAATTGGATTAATTTATGCTTGTTTGGTGGTGGAGGGGAATCTACTTCAGTGTCTGTTTGGGTGACACTCTCACACGAATGGACACACATACACACGTGTTTACACAAGTTAGTTTAAATAAAAACAACCATATAAGCAATCCGAGTCTATGCGCAGATACATATACGTGTGTTCGGGCATACATACATACGCAGTTGTAATTCTATGTGAGTGTCGGTGTCATTGCTAAAAGGATCGATGTTTAGATAGAAATGATGATATTAAGTGGTTGCTTTGGACATCTCAAAGGAAATTGACATAATTTTGGTATGCTGACCTTCTTCAGAAGTTGAAATGTTTTTTATATGAATTGTTTGATATGATTCAGTCTTTCTAATCAAATAACGAATTAAAATCTGTCTATATTTCTGAGATGAGGTATTATGTACACTATTTACATTATTCGGACTATTGTCCTCATCTTTGTCGCCATATTTATTACAACGTTTCGGCCCTTCAGTATTTGTCTATAATTCTGAGATGAGGTATTATGTACACTATTTATGTTATTCGGACTATTGTCCTCATCTTTGTCGCCATATTTATTGCAACAACACATGGAACAGTGGATTAAGGCGATGGTTAGATCCAGTGACAGGACCAAAAGAATGTGAGTTCAATACCTGGTTAAGGCAGTGGAGAACTTGGAGAGGGGAATTAACAGGAGATAACTCTAACTGACATCCATTAAACATGGTACGTGTGATTAGAACAGTCTACCCCAGTGAGCGAAATAAAAAGTTCAGTTCGACATTCCACCCACCTGAAGAAGGCCGGAGTGTACAACGGCCGAAACGTTGTAATAAATATGGGGACAAAGATAAGGACATTAGTCCGAATAGTGTAAATAGTGAACGAATTAAAAGTTGACGGCCACTCTTCTAGATCTTTTTACATTAAAGCAGATTTCGCTCAGGGATACATCCTTCAACATAATTTGTTCTTTTGTCAAGGGCCTTCCTATTGTTATAAGTTTTCAAATCGCTGTCTACAGTTGATTGGTTCGATAAGGTAAAATTAGCAGCTGATCTCAAAGATGAACTTCATTCTGTTGTTGACTGAGGCAAAAAAATGGTTTAATTATAATGACTCCAAAACAACATTGCTCGTCTGAAAGAACCTTTTTGACTCCCCCCCCCGCATGGCTGATTCTAACCTCCAGGAGAGTGACACTTTGCCCCTCCTCGGGCTAAGGATTTCCACTGATATGAAGTGGAAAGATTATATAGAATCAATTGCTGCGTCTACTGCCTGGAACGTTGGTTAACTGTGTCGTAGACAATGTTTCTCGTCAGAGTTTATCAAACACATTTATAAGTCTACTGTGTGTGCAGACATTAAAATATTGCTGTCACATATGATCTGGTGCTTCTAATATGTGTTTAGAGTTTCTTGATAAAACTCAAGAATATGGTTCTGACTTTACAACTTGACTTCTGTCTCTTTACCACCGCCGCAACGTAACTCCCCTGTTCCTTTCGTATAAATAATTTTATGGTAATTGCCCTGATGAGTTTTCCTCTATGGCTCCTGGACTTTATGAATTTAAGCGCAGTACCAGATTGCGCAGTTATGTCTCATCATTTTACAGTTGAAATGGCTAAATATAACTCTATGTTAACAGTTTCTTCTCTCGCACTTATCGCTTGTGGAACTATCGTCCAATTTCCAATCAGTAAATCGTTATATTTATTGCAATTCCTGTTCTTTTATTTTTCTCACTGTTTAATAAAGTTTCGTCTTTCTCATATTCTTTCACCAGCAACACATGGCGTGTTAATGGGTTCGTTAGCTTGGATGGGTGAAGAAATGTTAAAACTTTGAGTACGTGGGAAATATAGTGGAGCAGTTATTTCGTCTATCTTCTTTTTTTAACCCATAGCTAGGAAGGAGAGAAAAAAAAACATGAGTATTTTCTATGGTCAACAAAAGTCTAGACCTGAATTTGAACTCGGTTCGACGATTCTACATGGTGTGTCGCCAACCGTTGCAATATCCGCGCATCAATGCATCAATAGCATGAAAACCAAAAAAGAAATGAAAAAAAAAAATAGAATAACGGAAATAATAGAAAAAGAATAGAATGATGTGGCTGCTTTGAATTCACCAGGTGATCAGAGCTTGTCGTCTTGTCGTTAAGACGGCTACTTGAAGGGTGTAGGGTTCAAATTTGGCTGCGGACAGATATATTAATTATCTTTATATATATATATATATATATATATATATATATATATATAATTATTATTTATAAAAAAAATTATAACATAAGTATGTTATAAAAATCACTACAAAAATAGCCATTTTGTTTCAACACACTCAGTGTCTTACAAGGATGATGTTGAAGATAAAAAAACATCATCACTTGATAAGACACTGAGTGTGTTGAAACAAAATGGCTATTTTGTAGTGATTTTATAACATACTTATGTCATAATTTTTTTTATAAATAATAATTATATCTACTCTACTTTGTATTGAGCACTCTTTTAAGAATAGTAATTGTTGGTTATTGGAATTCATTCCATATATACCAATTATATACTTGTATATACATATATATACATTATTAATTAAAGAATATCAAACACACACACATACAGAGACACGCACACACACACACACACACACACACACACACACACACACACACACATATATATATATATATATATATATATATATATCAAGAATCTCAAACACTCAGACATATATGTGTGTGTGTGTGTGTACTGATCGATATCAGTGAAAGCGTACAATCCCTGCAGGCACTAGTATTTTACAAGAACATGTAAATAAGTTCGACAAATTTCAAGCGTGCCACTAGGAAAAATAAATACATAACAGTATAATCCATCAATTTACATGAAGAATGTGGCAGATTATGTCTTTTAAATGAAGGCATCGTTAATCACTATAGAAGTCTCACGAATTAGGATCAATAGTACATTGGAAATAACTCCTCATCATGCAGGGTTTGTCAGAAAACCTATAGAAAAAACCACGGTCTAACTTGTCACCTTTCTCGAAGAACCTGAATAGACTTTACAAAAACGGGTCAGGCCATGTTACAACCAAAAATAGTTTGCCACGTCTTCAATAATTCTTGCAAGTCATTTGCAGGCTTCAAGAAGTATTGTCATTTTTACGAGATCGCTCCCAAAATTAAACAGACATGTCAGCAATATTCATGCACATTTAACGAGTCCACAGCCATCATATCATTTATTGAAAATATCATAGACATTTCACTAAATTGTAGAAAATAGACAAAGAATTAGTTTTTATGCAATAACTTTTCAGCCGCTACGTGAAAGAGACAGCCGAAGGAATGGAGACGATTTTTGGTCCAACGCACACTTGTATTATTTGGCTCAATACAATATCGAGAACTTAGAAATCGTTAGTAAAACAGCAACAACAAAAGAAACAGTTGCTGCATCAACTGCATCACTATCTATCTATCTATCTATCTATCTATCTATCTATCTATCACATAAATTTATTATAAATAAATGCAAAAGATATAAGTTATAGAAACATAGATTTGAGTAGACAGTTTTTCTTTTGTTCCCCCACATATATCTAGTATTTGGCTAAATTCAAATGAAGCTAGAATATACTTTGCACTTGGTGCAATGTCAAAGTAGTCTGACGCACTAACGGCCTGGTCTTGAGGGATGATCCTTAAGTACTTTGTGCCGGTCCACGACTTACAGTAATTCAGTGAATGGCCCTAACACATAGTTAACCCCGAAAAGAATGTCAACGCGTGAAAAAACAAAAAACAAAAAAAATACAAAACAAAACAAAAACAACAAAAAAAAAACAATAACAGATATATATGCACTCACTGGGGACTTCGTCGTGACGTAATCGTTAGCAAGCTTTTCTCGCGAGGTCAATTACGACTGAACAGTGAATTCGATCTTCATAGTGTGCGCCATACTTTTGGCCTTGTGCCACATCTAAGCTATACTTAGAAATCACTGTAAGCACTCAGTTTTTTAAATGCATAAATGGCGGAGAATCTATCTTCAGATAAGATTTCACTTCAGTCCACCTTTGATTGACAAAGGGAAAGAAACAACCTCGCGTTTTTATTTGTCATATATAACATTACACTTTATTGATAAATTATTCTTCTCTCTTAAGGAATCTTTGCTCGGTGAATGAATTTTTAACCCAAATTAAGTATAAACTCTATGTCTTTATTATAGATGAAATTTCTGTTTAATAAATTAATTTCACCCGAATTGTAACTGTCATGAGAAGATTATTTTTATTTTTAATGTGAAAAAGACCAAAATAATTATCACTGTCAATCATCTATGGCAATACAAATCGGCCAGAAGTAGACTAAGACGAAAACCTAATGTATTCTCATTCTATGCCCGTAACTTCTCAGTAATAAAATATCTAAGGAAGAGATGTCAATTTAACAATATTTATTATCAATTAAAATGTTGTTTTTCATTATTAACCTGACGGCCTGTTATTGTGTTTACTTTAAGTATTTAAAGTAATGACTAGCGTAAAAGAAAACAAGGTCAAATGAATTTGTTCCTAATAGGTTTTCGGTGAGGAAATAGAAGTAGAAAATATATTTTAGAGGTAATACTGTTGTGGGTAATTGCTTTTTCAAAGAACAAAACAAAATCCTTTTTTAGTTTGGACATTAATAATAATAAAAAAAAACTAAGTTAGAATATTTCACCAAACAAACCATAATTGCTACAATTACAGAAAAAACATCATTGGAATGAAAAAAAAAACGCTATACTTCCGCATTCCTCATGTTGTTATTACGCTAAACTCTTCCGCTAGGCACAATAAATATTCGTAAAAAATAATTTAATGTTTTACAAAAACTAATAAGGCCATTTATAGCGGACAGACTGACAAACTCCATCCAACTGTATAGATTTGTATATATAAGAAAATATAAACTTAGATGTTCATATGTGATCCGCTTCATAGGAAAAGGATTCGAAAGTATTCAAATTTTAAGTAAAGCAATTTTTGTAAAGTAGTGTCATTATGAAAGGCATGAATTCACTATATGACTTATTACCATAATACTTTAGACAACCTGCCAAATGTTTATTGGAAAAGCGACATATTCTGCTAAGTAACTGTACTTACATCGGGAAATGCCGTGAGCAGTCTAATAAAGTCACCAGATAATATATGTCATGATAAAATAGATTTGCATTTAGTATTTCATTGAAAAATAATACAAGAACTTGTAGACCTCTATATACTATATGTAACCATATATACTGTATATAACCATATATACTGTATATAACCATATATACTATATGTACCCATATATACTATATGTAACCATATATAATATATGTACCCATATATACTGTATGTAACCATATATGTACCAAAAATTGAAGTGTTCACTTATCTCTTCCCACTGTGAGTTTGTATCACACTTGGCTGGCGGATTGATAGTAAAACATTTTTTTTTTACTGAAATCTGATTTTCAGATAAACCCTAGTCGCCGTTTTTCTTTTGCCGAAACAGAATCTCTATATCTCTTGCTCTCTTTCTGTATCACACACACACACACATAAATATATATATATATATATATATATATATATATATATATATATATATATATATATATATATATATATATGAAAAAATAGAGAGGGAATTAACAGGAAATAACTAATAACTGACACCCATTAAAACATGCCACGTGGAACTAGAACAGTCTACCCCAGTGAGCGAATTAAAGTGTTCAGTTCGACATTCCACCCACCTGAAGAAGGCCGGAGCGTACAACGGCCGATACGTTGTAATAAATATGGCGACAATGATGAGGACAATAGTCCGAATAATGAAAATAGTGTGGTAACATCTTTAGCAAAAGTTTCTTTCTATTGATAGAACTTATGTGGAGAAATAAATTCTATAGTTTAAACGAGTTGCATTCAATTTAATTTTTTCACGAACTGTCTTTCGTATACGTTTTGAGAGTCTGTAGAATGGAAACATATTTTTTATCATCTCATATTCCAGCTTTTAGTAGCATCGTTGTAGTACACGAAATCTGATTTCGCCTGACTGATAAGTATTTAATCTTTTCAGAAATGTCATTCTATAATTTGATTTGCTTTTCCAGATTATCCTCTTTACATCATTTTATTGCTTGAAGTAGAAATACGATAAACAAAGACGATAATTCTCAGATATTTTTGTCTGCGTCATCCTCACATCAATCCTACGATTCTTGCTTGACATAGGAACCTATACAAGACAGAAGAACGATAATGGTAAAATGAACAGCGAACAATCATCGGAAACCTATGAGACAAAATGAATTCCGGCATTTCTACAGAGAATTATCTCCGCTTTTTTTTATCTTTAATACAGGCTTAATAATGCAAATTCATAAATAGACCCGTCATGAAATTGTTATTGCTTTTAATTCTATAAGCTCCTAGATATTTATTGCAATTCTTCAAACATTCACAATTGAAGTAGTACACCGTGAAAACTAACTCAATATAGATAATGCAACCAATTCCTTCGTAATATAATTTATGCCATGTTTTATTATTCAAGTCTATCTATGCTATTACAGTCAAATTGCTCTTAATTAACCGAGGTGAGTAAATTATCATAATAAATATATGAGTTCTGATACTAAAATATATCGATACTGTTTTTCTAATAACGGATATAAAGAACGCCGCGGGAAGCCACTTGGCACAGATTGACCTTTGAACTCTGTCGCACATATACACTGAATTATAACGATCTTCCTTTGTTTATAGCAGTGCTTGGAAGGAAAGTGTGCAGTGTGTGGACGTCTCACCACACCACAATTGTTCTATAAATGACCATGGATTCTGCAATTGTTTTTGGCCAAGTTCAACATTCCCCAGATCCGACAACTACTCCATTTCGACTTTTTTCTCCTCAGAAATCAAATCCTATTTCGAAAGCAACAGGAGTTCAAGACGTCGAGCGAATCCAAGAGAATGCGACGAGGCTGCTGATCTCTATCCTAAAAAAAGGCGTTTCAGGAATGCTTCTATCAATGTAAACCATACCGGATATAATATGTGGCTTCAAAAGGGGACTATTTCGAAGGAGATTAAATGCCGAATTGATATGTGTTGTAGGTTTCTTTTTATACCACCAGTCTCGATATTTTAATTCAAACTTCGTATACCATGTGCAATTTTAATTCAAACTTCGTATACCATGTGCAATTTTCGGTTGAAAATGTTTCTTTATATTAGCCGTATTTCCAGCTTATTCGTTTCAGATTCATTACGCAGATCAAGTGTTAATTACTATAGATTCAATACATATTCATTTTAGTTTACTTACATGTTTTATTTTTTTTAATTTATGATATATAATGATTGCCATGGGAATAATATGCGTTCACAACATGATAGATAAGTGATGTAAAGACGATATTGTAAATTGATAAAACGTTGACCAGAACAATAAACGATAAAATTAAAAATATTCCAATCGGCTTTAAATTTGCCACAAATCGTGATTTGAAAAAAAAAAGACATTAAAAGAATAATAACCAAAAAAAAAAAACTGGATTGATCAAGAAGAACTTATTTCAAGAAACAGGAATCGTGAACCAAACGGAGAAAAAAAGATTTAATATTAAGGACAACAATGTGAAGGATATCACAGATAGAAAGATGTCAGTTACGCAAAGAAATACATAGAAATTGATTGCGAACGGTATTTGAATGTAGAGTTTCACTGGTTGAGATTGAAGACGAGGCTAGAGATCGGATCCTTCATGGACGTTGGCAAAACAGACGACGCCAGTGGAAATTTAAGCAGCTCTTAAACTTCTACTTAAACAGGAGTGTCAAAGTAAATGCGGAGAATTATTGTTTTTTGATAAAAAAAAAATGGTGGGGGTGTTACAGATAAAAATCAAGATGTTTTTAACTAAAGAGCATATACAGGGTGCGATGGTTAAATAGTCGTCTAAATGACGCAAAAAATGAAAATAACACTGACATCTCATTTTAACAGATATATTTACGAAAATTACATAAAAATATCTTGAAATACTAAAGAATAAATTTATTTAATAAAATCGCCATTGGCTTCATCCACAGACCACTTCTAAATCTCCTGCAACTTTTCAGGACGGTCTCCTTGTTTAAGTTGATGTATAATGACATAATCCTTGCCTTCCGTTCATCTTTGGTATTAAAAAAAAGTTTTGTTGTTCTCTAGCTCAACTGCATCCAACACATAATAATCAAGGGTGTAAGATTTTGGGGAGTTTTACTTTTCTGTAAAAAGAATTTATGAATAACAGAGAGAAAAGGAAACCTTATCTTAGCCGGCGCGTTAAACGAATCCGCTGCACCCAAACGAAAGCTGACCAAACGTAGCAGAGGGTCGTATTCATTCGGATGTGCAAATCCAATGTAGGTGTTTCAGTGGGAATTTGTATTCACAAGCCGACCGAAGCCGCATATAAACACACTTTTTATGACAGTGCGATCCGGTTTGAAATCAGGGTTTCCTTCTCCTAAACTTGTTGCCTCCCTAAGCTATCCTTAGTTATAAATTAAAAATCGAATGATAAATATCATATTATAAGTAAATGATAATGAGAAAATAATTTCTATCCTTAGGTACTTAAAAGCATCTATCTATCTATCTATCTATCTATCTATCTATCTATCTATCTGAACCTCTTTATAATCTATCTATCTATCTATCTATCTATCTATCTATCTATCTATCTATCTATCTATCTAGATTTCTCGTCCTGTTGTTGCCAATAGCTGCAAAGGAATAACAATGGTTTCAGCTCTGAATCATCAGCAATGGATTATTATAAGTGAGATAATTACCAACAGCGACTGATGTCGAAATGAAACGGAATCAAGCAGCGTTCTTGTAGAATAAATGGGGTTTGTTTTCATGGCGAGATGGAAACGGCCATGGAATTTGATTCTAGACAGTTCTGTGAATGATTTGATGGCGAAATTGAAGTCATGTTGAAGCCACAACTTTCAGAAATGTCGATGGGAGAGTTTACATTAAACATTATATAAAAGAAATCTAAAGATACTGTGAATTGTATTCGTTTTACGTAGATTTGAAGTAAGGCTTTCTTTATTTGGTTTAATTACAAGAATCACAAATATTAAGGAGATGAGAATATAACACCGTTGACAAGATTTATGTTTTTCAATCGGTATCACCCCGTGCAGGGCAATAAAGCCACAGGGGGATTACAGGTGTGGAAGAATTAAAAACAGAAGCATTAATAATAAGATAGAAGCGAAAAGAGTAATCAGGACGACATTAGATAACAATTGACATTGGATTTAAATTTTTGCAGATTAAAGTTGGCTGAAGAGCATAGGGCCGGAAGGGAGTTCCACAAGCGAGAAGTGCGAGAAAAGAAACTGTTAGCATAGAACTTACGGTAAAATCTAGCCAGATCAACTTTAAATTATGATATATCGATGCCTGTCTATTGCTGCACTTTAATTCAAAATTACTATTATGTTTTTTTTAATAATTTGCTTAACTAAATTTAAAATAACGTTACTTATTGACCTTAACATTAAATAGTTATTAAAATAAGAAAATCAGAGATGATTAATATTGTTACGTAAGAAAAGAGTCAGAAAAAGACATTTGTATTTTTGTTTAAAATACCGTGAATAATAAGAGGATGTTAAGCTTAAATTAGGCACAAGACCGAAAGACACCCTGTCAGGACAGAATAGAATACTCAGTCGTAATTTTTAAAGCCAGACAGGCTCGTTAATCATTACACCAGATTGAGGTAACCGGAGAACCGTTATTGTAATGGTGAAATTAGCCTCTTTCCATGCAAGTGAATATTCGCTATTCTTTGACCAAATATTTAGCATTACTGTCAATTAAAATCTTTCTTGTTAAACTGTTTTTCAGGAAAATAAATTTCGCATGTCCACTAATCGTCATCGCTTTTTCTAAAATTAATGGTCTATCTTTCCTAATGTTTTGCTTGAAATATTGTGGAAAGTTAACATCTTGATTACATCATTATTTTTCTTTTACTTACATGTTCTACCTATTTTAGTTTTTATTCATTTTGGAAGTTTACAATGGATGTTGTTTTTTTTTCGTATTTGGTAATATTCATTTAGTAATTGCGTGTCGGCAGTCTATAGGGCCTGGATTAAACCTAAAGGATTCATTCATTTTCTTTCAATTATTGATCTGAGATAATTTTGTATATAGTTGATAGTTTAGACATTTCTAAACAAGTTGGACTGTATGCATGACATCGATAATAAAGTCGAGATCTGATGAGGCTGTCTAAGCACATCGAGTTCTCAGTTTAATATTTTGGTTTTGTAGGACCCTATGGTGTTGGATAAAAGTACCCCTTGAGCAACCTAACCTCTGTCAATTTTACTCATAACGTATACTAAATTTATTTTAAGTTTTCCATAAATGCAGGTGTTTAAGATGCTTAGAATTAATTAAATTCCACTGAATTTTTATGATAGATTCAGGCCATCAATCTTTTCATTCCAATTCCAGATCATCGTTTCTGTTTTGGAAAGGTTTATCTTAGGTCATACATCTTAGGGTTTTTGCTAAAGAAAATTGATTTTTGTCAAGCTCATTTTTATACAAATTATGAATTAGCATATTTTTATACAAATTATGATTAGCATATCTTCCTCATCGTCAGTACACAGGCCTCTGGAGAGAAAAAAAGAACAATTGCACGGTTTTCTATTGGTTGTGTCGTTTGTGATGTGGTCAGAAATGTTTAAATAATTTTGGTTTATAGGAGATTCAGTAACTCATTCCTCGTTACTTTTTGACTGTTAGGTAAGTAGCAGTGTTGGGAAATAAAGAAAAAGCCTCATTATTTAACGATGAAGAAATAACAATCTGTGAGCTACAATAAAATGCTGTAGAAATAAGGCGAAAGAAATATTTGTAGAAAAATAATACACCAGACAATAGAATCATCTACGAAATTTAAAAACACAGCTAAATTTAATTCTAGGAAGAGAATGGGAAATACAAAGAAACTCATATTTCAACCAGAAGTAGATAGTTGGATTTTCTGGGACAATTATGAAAAAGGACGGCTTTGAAACCTTAATACTAGCAAGACATATTTAGGGAAGACGAGAAATAGAAACAGTGAATAATTTACGTAAGGAGTATTGATGAATAAGCACAAGGCGCAAGTGAAGAAAGTCTAAATTTGCTTACAGCTACAAAGGACAAGAAGGTAATAAAACCTCTAAGATCGAAGTGGTAACTGAGTGTGAATAAATATGTGATGAATAAATAAAAAAAATATTATGGTTAGAAAATAATAAAAGAGAGTGAATAAAGAAGATAGAAGATAAAGGCTGACATTCATTTTTGAAGTTCAAAACTAACCAGAAAGTAAGAGACCAGAATAGAGTTCCATAAGAGAGAATTGCGAGAGAAAAACATTAGCATAAATGTATGTACGAGTCTGTATGTGTTGTGTTTGTCTGGGCGCGTGTGCTGTATATGTGCGTGTGTATGTAAGACGTCTGGTGTATATGCCCGTGCGTAATGGGTGGATATTGTAGATGTGGATGGGGCATATGGTTTGTGCTGGTGTGTACGTACGTGTGTGTGTGTGTGTGGTAATAATCTTTCGGGTTTCGATGTTATGAGCAATTAGTAATATTTTTTATATTTTAAAATCCTTTTATACTTGAAAAATCAGTCTTAATTTCTTTGATAAAGTATTAATTATCATTAGTTTTTACTAATTTTCCTGAATCTAATTTCCCTTTAAACCGCCTAGTAATAAATACTAATAATTATAGTAACAGTAATAATAGTCATTATTTACATTATTCGGACTACTGTCCTCATCTTTGTCGCCATATTTATTACAACGTTTCGGCTGTTGTACGCTCCGGCTTTCTTCAGGTGGCTGGAATGTCCAACTGAAGGACACATGACGCAGTGGATAAAGGCGTTAGTTAGATCCAGTGACAGGACCCAAAGAGTGTGACTTTAATACTGGAGTAAGGCAGTGGAGAACTTTCAGAGGGAAATTAACAGGAGATAACTGATAACTTACATCCATTAAACATGACACGTGGAACTAGAACAGTCTACCCCAGTGAGCGAAATAAAGGGTTCAGTTCGACATTCCAACCACCTGAAGAAAGCCGAAGCGTACAACGGCCGAAACGTTGTAATAAATATGGCGACAAAGTTGAGGACAATAGTCCGAATAATGTAAATAATGTACATAATACCTCACCACAAAAATATAGACAGATACTGAGTAATAATTGTCTTCAATTGAATTTTATTGCTTAGATGACTATTGTTCATTATAATTAATTCGAATCCCTCTTCATGAAATGTTTATTGCGTATTCCTTCTGCATATGTCTGTTGAAACTGAAGATGCAATGATCTACGGTGTCCATTTTTGAACTCCTTATTCTCAATATACCGATGAGCATTGAATTAAGAGTTGCATTTCTCCTACAGTGTCTACCACATGATGTAATACAGCCCAGAGATTTAATCAGATGGCGCTTCCTGCTTCTTCTAATGATATTAATCAGAATTTTCTTCTCTATCTGCGCCGATAGCCATTAGGCTAACCCTTTCAATTCCATTTCAACACGCACAAGAATAAGCGAAGTTATATGGATGTTTGTTTTTAACAGTGCCATGTTTAACTATAGGCGTAACAGGCTGAAGCTTATGGCTTGAAAATCTAGGGGTCCTCCAGCCAAGCTGTATAATATTTTTGACTCTAACATAGGCCTTACTCATGCTGACATAACGTATTTCAGATTCTAAACAATCCTTCAGTCATTTTCCTTACATTGCATTTCAGAAAAATTCTGTCTTAAGCCGATGCTAACATTGATTTCTTTATAGAGATTTTTTTCATTTTAACATTCATCCATTTTTTTCAATCACATACTGTATTTAACAATAACATCTTATGTCCTTTAGAGGAGTAATCACCCATCCTCATATTACGCAAATTGTTTAATTTAACACTCTTTCATTTTCCTCTACTTGTGATAATAGGAGATTTTGGAGGGTCATCAAAAGTGGAATAGCCTAGGATCTCTTTTCAACTAAATGCGACCTTGATCTTTAAATAGTTGTAGAAATAACCGTTCTAATTGGACGCAGGGTTTTTTCCCGACTTCAAATACGAATTAAAGGACTTTTTCTTTATCTCTTTTTGTATAACTATTAAGTATCATCAGATGCAAAGACACAACTGTGAAGATCAGGAACAAAACAATAACGAAAAGCCGGGAGAATATTAATCATTTCGCTACGTAAGAATATTTGATAGACTGTTGCGGACCCGGTAGGGTGCAGTGCTGGTTTATTACAAAGTGGCCTTGTGCCAGACACCACACTAAACTACCGAGTCCACAAGCAATGTATGAAAAAAAATAATGATGCGTGAATGAACAGTGAGAGGAAAGGGGTCAATCAACGAGTGCATAAATTAATAAACATCGAAGAGATAGCCGAAATAAAATGACAAAGACGTCTGTTTGTAAAACATGTGTAACTTTAATTAGATGGAAACAAGTAACTTATCTCGTGGTACGAGATTAATGAAAAGTTCCGCGCCTAAATAGAAATGCAAGATGAACTAGGCGGGAAAAAGAGTTTTATAAGGTTCTGGAAAAAGGAACTCGTTAAACACGAGGTGTATGTGCGCACAGATAGAAAGGAGTACTCACTGTGGATTTTTTTTGGCGTTGTAAGTGTGTGTGGTATTT